GTTCAGGTCTTCAATGACTGCCTGAACCATGGTTGTTTGCCATCTGGTACTCTGGATGGTTTAATTTCATTGATTTGTAAGGATCCATCTCAAGCTGATAGTCTGTCCTTTTGGAGAGACCCATATCTCTGCTCATTGTTGATTCCAAAATCATCTCTCGTGTGTTATGTATGCGACTGAGTGCGATTATGCCCACCCTTATACTCAGTACCCAAACATGTGGTGTCAGAGATCGGAGTATTCAGCACAATCTTGTGCTTCTACGTGACTTCTTTCATTACATCAGTAACCGGAATATCCCTGCCATCTTTGTTTCCCTCGATCAAAGCAAGGCATTTGATCGAGTCCACCACACATTTTTGTGGTTTGTTTTGAGGAGATATGGGTTTCCTCCTGTTTTCTTACATTATCTTCATTCCTTCTATTCCAAGGCATCCAGTAAACTCTTAGTTATATACCTTGACCATTGAATGTTTGTTATCATATTTTTTATCATACTTCTTCCATTCATGATATCCAGCAACTTGGTGGTATCTCTGTTAAGTTAGCCATGCTGATGATGTCAATCTCTTCACGTCTAACCTGTCTTCCCTTGGTACTGCTCTTGCTGTGGTGGAGACATACTCTAGGGCTAGTGGAGCTCAACTGAATCTTGCCAAGTCTAAGGCCAGATGGTTAGGTCATTGGGCATCATCCTCAGATACACCTTTTGGCTTGACATGGACAACCTCTGCTTTAAAGTGCTTTGGGGTTTGGTTTTTTCCTCTCCAACTGTTCTTTGGGATGATTGTTATTAATGATGTTTGTTCCACTCCTGCTAACCTCTTTCTTTGTGCACAAGTTATCTGTCAATGGATTTTGCACCTTCTGTGGTATGTTGTTGCTGTGTTTCCCTTGGAGGAAAGTTGTGCACGAATAGTGGATCGTCTTATCTTTTCCTTTTATGGAATGGGAAGACTGAGCTTGTCTTCTGGCTCTCACTCCACTTACCTCTTAGTAGTGGGGGTCTTGCGATTCCATGCATCAGGACTAAATGTCTGTCATTGCTCATTACTTGGACTGTTAAGTGTCTGTCTCGGGATGGTACTCCCTGTTGTCCTTTCACTCGCTTCTTGTTGGGTGTGGGACTAAAGGTTTTAGGTTTTCCCCTTTCCTTGTTGTCTCCCGTATGTTTTGACCCTCCTCCCTGGTATTCCCAGTGTGTTTCAACTGTTTGCCATTGTCAAGGGGAGGATAGTGATTTGACGTCTTGTCTTCACAATCACATACTATTTATCGTTTACTTGTCCCTCGACATTCCTCATCGGTATTGAG